CAGTAACAGAAGCTATTACAGCTATTACAGTAACAGAAGCTATTACAGCTATTACAGTAGCAGAAGCTATTACAGCTATTACAGTAACAGAAGCTATTACAGCTATTACAGTAACAGAAGCTATTACAGTAACAGAAGCTATTACAGCTATTACAGTAACAGAAGCTATTACAGTAAGAGAAGCTATTACAGCTATTACAGTAAGAGAAGCTATTACAGCTATTACAGTAAGAGAAGCTATTACAGTAGCAGAAGCTATTACAGCTATTACAGTAACAAGCTATTACAGTAACAAGCTATTACAGCTATTATAGTAGCAGAAGTTATTATAGTAACAGAAGCTATTATAGTAACAGAAGCTATTACAGCTATTACAGTAACAGAAGCTATTACAGCTATTACAGTAACAGAAGCTATTACAGTAACAGAAGCTATCACAGTTATTACAGTAACAGAAGCTATTACAGCTATTACAGTAACAGAAGCTATTACAGCTATTATCGTAACAGAAGATATTACAGTAACAGAAGCTATTACAGTTATTACAGTAACAGAAGCTATTAGTTATTACAGTAACAGAAGCTATTACAGTAAGTGAAGCTATTACACGTATTACAGCAACAGAAGCTATTACAGCTATTACAGTAACAGAAGCTATTACAGTAACAGAAGGTATTACAGCTATTACAGTAACAGAAGGTATTACAGCTATTACAGTAACAGAAGGTATTACAGCTATTACAGTAACAGAAGCTATTACAGCTATTACAGTAACAGAAGCTATTACAGCTATTACAATGACAGAAGCTATTACAGCTATTACAGTAACAGAAGCTATTACAGCTATTACAGTAACAAGTTATCACAGTAACAAAAGCTATTACAGCTATTACAGTAACAGAAGCTATTACAGCTATTACAGTAACAGAAGCTATTACAGCTATTACAGTAGCAGAAGCTATTACAGCTATTACAGTAGCAGAAGCTATTACAGCTATTACAGTAACAGAAGCTATTACAGCTATTACAGTAACAGAAGCTATTACAGTAACAGAAGGTATTACAGCTATTACAGTAAGAGAAGCTATTACAGTAGCAGAAGCTATTACAGTAAGAGAAGCTATTACAGCTATTACAGTAAGAGAAGCTATTACAGCTATTACAGTAAGAGAAGCTATTACAGTAGCAGAAGCTATTACAGCTATTACAGTAACAGAAGCTATTACAGCTATTACAATGACAGAAGCTATTACAGCTATTACAGTAACAGAAGCTATTACAGCTATTACAGTAACAAGTTATCACAGTAACAAAAGCTATTACAGCTATTACAGTAACAGAAGCTATTACAGCTATTACAATAACAGAAGCTATTACAGCTATTACAGTAGCAGAAGCTATTACAGCTATTACAGTAGCAGAAGCTATTACAGCTATTACAGTAACAGAAGCTATTACAGCTATTACAGTAACAGAAGCTATTACAGTAACAGAAGGTATTACAGCTATTACAGTAAGAGAAGCTATTACAGTAGCAGAAGCTATTACAGTAAGAGAAGCTATTACAGCTATTACAGTAAGAGAAGCTATTACAGCTATTACAGTAAGAGAAGCTATTACAGTAGCAGAAGCTATTACAGTAAGAGAAGCTATTACAGCTATTACAGTAAGAGAAGCTATTACAGTAGCAGAAGCTATTACAGTAAGAGAAGCTATTACAGCTATTACAGTAAGAGAAGCTATTACAGTAGCAGAAGCTATTACAGTAAGAGAAGCCATTACAGCTATTACAGTAAGAGAAGCTATTACAGTAGCAGAAGCTATTACAGTAAGAGAAGCTATTACAGCTATTACAGTAAGAGAAGCTATTACAGCTATTACAGTAAGTGAAGCTATTACAGCTATTACAGTAACAGAAGCTATTACAGTAACAGAAGCTATTACAGCTATTACAGTAAGAGAAGCTATTACAGCTATTACAGTAAGAGAAGCTATTACAGTAACAGAAGCTATTACAGTAACAGAAGCTATTACAGCTATTACAGTAAGAGAAGCTATTACAGTAAGAGAAGCTATTACAGTAACAGAAGCTATTACAGTAAGAGAAGCTATTACAGCTATTACAGTAACAGAAGCTATTACAGTAGCAGAAGCTATTACAGCTATTACAGTAAGAGAAGCTATTACAGTAACATAAGCTATTACAGCTATTACAGTAAGAGAAGCTATTACAGCTATTACAGTAGCAGAAGCTATTACAGCTATTACAGTAGCAGAAGCTATTACAGCTATTACAGTAACAGAAGCTATTACAGTAACAGAAGCTATTACAGTAACAGAAGCTATTACAGCTATTACAGTAACAGAAGCTATTACAGTAGCAGAAGCTATTACAGCTATTACAGTAAGAGAAGCTATTACAGTAAGAGAAGCTATTACAGCTATTACAGTAAGAGAAGCTATTACAGTAACAGAAGTTACCCGGTATTACAGCTATTACAGTAAGAGAAGCTATTACAGTAGCAGAAGCTATTACAGCTATTACAGTAAGAGAAGCTATTACAGTAACAGAAGCTATTACAGCTATTACAGTAAGAGAAGCTATTACAGTAACAGAAGTTACCCGGTATTACAGCTATTACAGTAAGAGAAGCTATTACAGTAACAGAAGACTACTGCACAAGACAAATGTCTGAGAATTTCAGTATTTCAGAAAAAATCAGTACATTTTGTAGCAGAGAACATTTCCTTGGGGTTCTTCAGGGTTTTCACACAATTTGGTTCTCACCAAAATGGGGGATTTCCAGTATCAGACAAGATCTCACACAGAATGAGTTAACAAGTTCAGAATGACAAGGGTTATTTTTCTGTCATTACTGGCAGCACTGTCATGGAGAGTTAGGTTTTTTTACCACTTTTTTTACTATTTCCTTGTATATTTATGACTTTTCCATTGATAAGTTCCTGAGCTGAGAAATATTTTGTAGTAAATTTTGAAGCAGCAAGTATATCCCTTCTAGATGCAATCAGTTCCCGGTAATCTAAGAATGACGTTTCATTCTGAATTTGAATAACAATATAAATTTTAGCAGATAAAAAAAAATGTTTGATTTGAAGATCTTTGCTTTGAAAAGCATAACAATATATCTTATTTTGTAAAAATAACTTAATTATTGCTAAATAGATACAAGTATTTCTGATGTGTTCATTTGGCGAATTACAAAAGATCTCACAAGGTACTGGAAACAGTCTATGAACTGCAAAATTTTATTATACTTGCCATCCGCTGTGGTCGCTAGTTGATGTTGTTGCAACATTGCTGCAAACTCCTTCAACTGATATCTACGGATAATCCGATCTAAGTACATATTTTCTAGAATACCATACGCCGATAACTGTTGACATCGCTCATCTTTGAATAGCGTTGCTAACATACGTGACCTCTGTTGACCTGAGACAGAATAGAAAGACACATGAATTTACAAGGGTACATCTGTGTTTCAGTCATTTGATAATCATATTGTTTCAGTTACAATTATGAAAAGGACAAATAATTTACGTGTATAGTGTCCAATCTAAAATGGTAGTCATGAGCCAAAAATCAGAAATGATTTCCTTTTAGGTTGTAGGTAATTTTTCAGTCAATGCAAGATTTTGCGCAATGCGTAAAAGATATGAATCGCAAAAATTAAATTATTTGATTTTTTTAAAGTTCAATGTCAAAATACCGATCTTTCAGAGAAGAATATGGTGTTGAGATATCTTTACTTTATGATGAAAATTGACCATCATGAAATGTGTATAAGCACATTATTAGGCTCG